TTGCTAACGAGGAGCTGCCACCAGCCCCGGGGTGGGGGGGGGGATGCGGGGGCTTGGGGCGGGGGGGCAATACCCCGTAATAAATATCCCCAGCGGCGCAGAGGAGGATGAGGATGGAGGACGAAGGCTCAAATCTCCAACAAACTGCCAGCCTCGGGACTACCGGCATCTTTACCAGGAGAAGCCGGAGGCTGCCGAGGAGAAGCGGGGGGCTGCTCCCCACCGGTGCCGGGGGGGGGGTTGGGGGGTCCGGCTTCAGCGTGGGTCTTCTGATGCTTGCTGAGATGATCGCTACGGGTAAAACGCTTGCTGCAAAGGAGACACGTGAATTTTTTCTCCCGCGTGTGGGTACGGACGTGCCGTTCCAGCTCGTCGGAACGGGTGAACCGTTTGCCGCAGAAAAGCCAGTTGCAGACGAAGGGACGCTCGCCCGTGTGCCAGCGCAGGTGGGCCTTCAGGTGGGATGCTTTGCCGTACACCTTCCCGCATCCCGGAATGTGGCAGCTATGAACCGGCTTTCGTCGGGATCCTCCCGGACCCCCCAAACGCTCCAACTCTTGGCAATTAGGACAATCGCAGGCCGGACGACCCCCTAACGAACCGCCGCGTGGTCCCTTAGGGGTTTCGCCCGGGTTGGTTTTAGGGGTGGGGGGTGCGGCGGGGTTACTGGTGTAGGGGGGGGGGTTGAGAGCCCCGAAATCGGAGCCGTAAGTGGGAAGTGGGGGGCTGAGGGTGGGCTGGCCCTGCAGCGAGCCCTGCAGCCCCTCGGCGCCCGCCGGTCCCCCCAGCCAGCCCCCGTTAGGGTGCACGTCCCACCAGGAGGGTGCTGCCGGCCCCGAGCCCCCCGGCAGCCCCCCGCCGATGCCGCCCTTGTACCAGGAGCCGTAGGGATGCGGCATCTCCAGCGAGGGGTAGACGCCCGGCAGGCAGTCGCCCGGTGGGTGTCCCTTGGCCGTCACCACCACGGGGGCACCCAGCACCTCCTGGGCGCCGGTGGGTGCCGGGAAGGGGTGGCCGAAGGGGCCGTAGTCAGGGCCGTAGGGACCGGGCGATGCCTGGGGGCTGGCCGAGGGCGAGAGCAGCCCCGGGGCGCTGGGGAAGGCGGCCGTGTAGGAGTCACCCATGGCGGCGGCGGTGGTGGTGGCGGCGGGGGGACGATGGGTGGGAGCACCCCGAGGTGGTGGGGTCGGCGTCAGCGGGGGCACAGGGCCATGGTGCCTGGTGGCCTGTGGGAAGAGGGAGATGGGTGTTAGGATGCTGGGGGGAAGGAGAGAAAGGAGGGGGGGGCACCTAGTGCAATGGGGTAACTAGTGCTGGGGGGCACCCGGTGCAATGGGGTAACTGATGCGATGGGGCACCCAGCACTATGGGGCACCCTGTAGTGGGGTATCGAGGACCATGGGGCACCCAGTGCGATGGGCACCCAGTGCAATGGGGTAACTGATGCGATGGGGCGCCCAGCACTATGGGGCACCCTGTAGTGGGGTATCGAGGACCATGGGGCACCCAGTGCGATGGGCACCCAGTGCAATGGGGTAACTGATGCGATGGGGCGCCCAGCACTATGGGGCACCCTGTAGTGGGGTATCGAGGACCATGGGGCACCCAGTGCGATGGGCACCCAGTGCAATGGGGTAACTGATGCGATGGGGCGCCCAGCACTATGGGGCACCCTGTAGTGGGGTATCGAGGACCATGGGGCACCCAGGGCGATGGGCA